CTTACTAAAAAGGACTGGATCACTCAAATCACCTTAGCAGAGCACATGTGCAAGTGATCACCAGGATCCAAACCTCCAAGACATTAATTAAATCTTCCTTCTCTCTGACCTACTTTCACAGAAGTGGAACTGACAACAGTCACCTGCTGAAAAGCTCATATTTAGTCTGAAAAAGACCTTAAAGCTGGACTCAAATTTTAATTCAAAACTTTAAAAGCTGTTCTATTTTTTCCCCCTCACTTTCCTCATTTCAAATTTGGCAAGATCACCACTCCAAAACAAGTTAGCTTACGAGCACATTGAATGAGGGTGTGCTCCATTGAGTTTGGACACCAACTGCCAGGGATAGCAGCAGGAAATAGGAATTCAGGCCTAAGGAGGGATGAGATAAACACATGGAGAGGCTGATGCAAGAGAACTGCAGTGGCCTACATAATGTTTAGGGGCCGGGCAATTTAATGTGCCAGGGTGGGCAAGCTTGTCACCAAGAGACATTTCATTTCAACATGAGAAAAGCCTTGTAGAGACTCAGATGTCTCTTTTTTCACATTATTGACCAGTTTTAGAGCCTGAAGAAGCAGTTCCTGTCTCAGACACAATACTGGAGCCAAGACAGCAGTACAGAGCAGCATCTGAGCCAGCTTCGCACACAGCCAGCTCTAATTCACAAAAAAGCTTTGATTTAAGCAAAAGCAGTGGAAGTATTTATGCACTCAGACTGCTGTGGATGTGCCCAGTTTCTGGAGACAAACCAAAGGTTGACCTCTTCCTGCTGGGATGTGAATCCATTGCTCAGACAGAGCTGTCAGCTGAAAACCTACATCCCTGTAAAAAACCAGCTTTGCTACCCTGTCAAGGCAGTGGTTGCTAACAAGTTTTCTATCTGATCTGTGAGTTGTAACTGAGAATAGAATATGGACACCTCAGTACAAGAATAAAATACAACTCTAAACATGCAAATCCAACTAAATACAAGCAGTTGCAGTAGTTACAAGGGAGACTACACTGAATTTGTTAATATAGACCAAAATTTTACTGTAGAAACAATATGAAAAAAACTTGTAGTATTTTAGAAGTTGAACACATAACACAAGTTTACTCTGAAAGTGCTTAACCTCATAACATACACTAAATACAGTAAATTTGTTGCAGTAAGTCAACTGCTTTCTGAAGAAAAAAATCAAAATTCTAGTGAGACACCTCCTTCTGGACAGCACCTCACTTGTGCTGGAACTGAAGATAAAAGCATTTCCAGAGACAGATATTAACTATTTCTGACACTCCTGACTTCCCTTATCTGTCTTTCAATTCAAAACTTTCTCTGCCTTACCAGGCTGTTGGAGCTGCTGTTCCATGGGGACAGGGTAGAGTAGGAAACCTAAGTTAAACAGCAGCATGGATTCAAAATTGTGTGACTTTTTTTCACAGGTTGGGCTTCAGTTTTGCTGGTTTTGCCCGTTCTCCCCAATGATGGTAGCTTCATAGATCAGTCTAATCAATCCACATGGCTGAAGATGCACGTAGAAAACCCAGAAGTACATTACTGCCTGGCCACTGTTCTGGGCTGTTTTCATACTTCACAGAATTGTCTCTGCCTGAGGACTGATGAAATCTTTACACGGAATGGCTCAAGACTATAAAGCAGAGGAATCTATAGGACTTGTACCATCAGACAAAGATTCTGTATCCTGTCTTCATGAAGATCGCACACTTTGCTAGTAAATGGGAAACACAGATGTAAGAAAAATCATATGCCATGGGATTCATTTGTCCTCTGAAGCTCTCCTCCCTGACTTCCTTCATTAACAATATCCTTCTAAAAATAAATAAATTCATTCCTACAACATGAGATTAACACTATGATTAATGCCTAGGATAACTGACAAATATCCTGAAGTTTCTTGGAATTTCTGTCAGAGGTAAGTAACGCTCTTGTTTTTTTATTGCTAAGATTTCAACTGCCTTTGAAAAGCAAATCTTACAGCCCAAATATCTAAGGAAATGTGAAACAAGATCCAAGATTCCACCTTCTCATCTTTCTAACCAGTTTCTAGACAGTGTTTTTTTCTGTTTAGAAGAACAGAACACTACGGTCAAGAAACACGCAGGAACTGAGACTAGCATTTGCAACCAAATTACTTGAATTTGAGGTGGCTGGCAGACTTGCATTACTGAACTGAACACAGCAAGTACAAACTTGAAAGTCTGTACTGGTGATATTTATTTGAACTTTTTTCTTGCTAATTATGCTGTAAATTTAGGTGATAAATTTCTAGGGGGAAAGAGAAAGATATTGTACTGCCAAGAGCAGCGCTTACAGCTAATAATTTTGAAAAAGACAGACATCAGTAAATGCACTAACTTTGCTCACCTTTTAATTACAAACACCAGTAGCTAAAATACCTATATGCATTTTTCATAGCTACCTCTTTCTATGCTCCACCTTCTTCTCCTCTCTCACTTTTCATGTAACTTTAGCAGAAACGCAAAGGCATAACTAATGTCTAAGGAAAAACCACAGCTATTCACACTTCTGATTATGGTTAAATAAATATACAACATTTGAAGAATCCTTCCTAAACCCAAACTGATCCAATTCAACAGTTACCTGATTTACACTATTCAGTCATAGATAAATAATTTCTTAAACAAGGTGTATTAATTTAGCAAACCAATCCCTGTATTTTAGGGGACAGGTTTTTACGAGTTCCCTTTAAAGAAAAGAAAAAAGTGTATTTTTAGAAAAGGTCTTTAAGACAAAATTTGTGACTCAATTCTTGCTTCAATCAATGTTTGATTGAAACCCTGACAAAGCAAAAAAAAAATCTATCAACTTACAATTATGATTTGTTTTGACATTCAGTGAAACCTTGCTTTTTTTCATATAACACTAGGGAAAAAAATCCAGTCAGATGCAAGTGGAGTACATTTCAGTGAAAATAAGATACTTTCTACTTTCATATAGCATTCTAGTTTCTTTTTCCACAAAAACTGAAAAGAAAACCCTGTTATCCTATCATAAAAAACAGACAAATATTACTGCTACCCAAAACCATGCTGCAGTCTAAAAGAATATTGCACCAGGGTAACAAATATAAAATACGGCCACGTTGTCTTCAAACGTGGCCTGCAATTATAGCACGTTAACATTCTGTATTATTCTCCAGAATAAACACCTGTACAATTGGAACTTTTACTCACTCTTTAAAACAGCAGAGATCCAAACATGGCTTGTAAGCAAGAGGATGAGGTAGGATCTCCCCCTTTAATTTGCCATTTCTGCAGAGGGAGATTTTTAAATAAGAAGTTACTTTGTTCTTTCTTCCCCCAGTCACCCCTAGCTGCCAGCAGGTCTGCCAAATTGCCAAGCATCCTGCCACAAGTCCATTCTAACAGTATCTGAGCATAACACTCCCACCAGGCTGAATACAAAACAAGAGGATTAAAACATATCACAACTGTTTACTGCATTCTAATACATCTTAACCCCTGGCTGTGGGTATAGATCTTCAGTAGCGGGGATTTTCAAGACAAAAGTTATTTTTTAAAATTTCAGAAGGCAAAGTAAACCACAAAAACAACTCCATGTCAATCTATGCAGCATCCACAGAACTTTCTATAAAGGCAGTGAAGTTCTGGATGCCCCATCCCTGGCAGTGTTCAAGGCCAGGTTGGATGGGGCCCTGAGCAACCTGGTCAGGAGAGCTGGAATGAGATGATCTTTATGGTCCCTTCCAACCCAAACCATTCTACGATTTCTATGATAGCTTTTCCTACCCAGGTTTTCCTACCTAGGCACCTTTTCCTACCCAAGTTACCGTTTCTGATTCAGATATTTCTGCTTCTTTCTTCACGTGGTTGAGTTAAAGAGCTGTCAATATTCTACATCTATCGTGTCGCAAAGCCTTTAGCAAATATATGAAAGGCAAATTGTAGCTGATTGTGTATTCTAACAGTGTAATTTTTCCTATCTATGTATCTTTCTTAAGTAAGTGTTTGCAATCATTCAGTTTCCATCTGAAAACAGCTGTGGAGTTTGCCTCTTAAAACTTAATTCAGTCCATGCAACTCAGCAGAAGGCTACTAGTGTCCACAGATAACACCCCTGACAGATTAATATCACTGATACATTAATCAGAATTATATGAGTGACAGATTAATCAACACCATCCCGCACATTTTAGCGCCTCACCATTTTTAAGAGCCAAAATGAAAGTAACTTTTCAAGTTATTCAGATGGAAACCCGAAGGTACCACACATTTCCACTGTAAAGTGGGTGTCCTGCGTTACCTGGAGCCGCAGCAGCCCTACACCGAGCAATTTCCGCCTGAATGCCGATGCTCACTCAGTCATGGGTTATTAACAGGCAGCACCCTTGGTTTCCGAACATCTGCGATACTCTTTGCACCCCCCAGAACACATCAGAGCAGTCTTTAGGAGACACTCATGAAAGTGAAACCGCACAGCTTTCCCGCTGCCTCCTAAAGCTGCGATACCTGTGCAGAACCCCAGTTATAAGCTGCAACAGGCTCCAAGCAAGCCTGGGGAACACCGAGCTCAGAAGGAGCAGAAAGCTCCCGTTTACCTTCTCGGCGATGCTGTACAGGACCTCATCCATCTTCATGCACGTGGGGTCCCAGTCGTGCCCGAAGCGGATGACCACGACCCGGTCCTCCTCCGACAGGATGGCCTGGTCCACCTGCCACCCATTGTGCAAGTGCGGCAGCATGTACGACATCCTGGCGGCCGGCCGGGGAGCCTGCAGAACGACAGGGATGCCCATGGAGCTAACAGCCCGACCCCTCCCCGGGCCCCGAGCGCCAGCACCGAGCCACCCCCGGCCCGCCCATCCCGGCGCGGCCCGTCCCCAGCGCACCCCGCGGGCGTCCTTCCCTCGGAGACACGGAGCGGCGGCAGCGCCGGCACGGCGGGAAGCGGAAGGGCGGGCACCGCAACGAGCGCTTCCGGCACGGCCCGCACAGCCGCCTTCCCGGCGGGAGGAGTGCCCGCTGCCGGACGGGCGCGCTCGGGCTGGTCGGGGACGCCCGCGTCCCCCCTCGCAGGTGGGATGTGGAGCCGTGCCGTGGGGATCGGTGATGCCGGCTAGCACGGGGAGGATGAAACAGAGGTGATCAGAGCCGAGATCTCCTACTCTCTGCTGCTGACCGCTCTGATGTCATTGCATTCCCTGAAACCTCCGTGGGATTTGATCGTGAGATATGGTCGGAGAAGCTGTGGATGCCCCATTCCTGGGGGAGTTCAAGGCCAGGTTGGACGGGCTCTGAGCAACCTGGTGTAGCGAAAGGTGCCCATGGCAGAGGGCTGGGTCCAGATGCTTCTTTAAGGTCCCTTCCAGCCCAGCAATTCTGTGGTTCTGTGCTATTGCATCTCCTGGCTGTGGGAGGTTTTCTCAGCGTATTCCCCCACAGCAATGACAATTGTCATGCCCCCGGCCCCGGCCGCTGCACTGCCCAGCCGCTCCCAGACTCGCGCTGGGGTTCCATGAGCTCTCCCACGGCTCCGGTGACCAAAGTGCCACCACGGGAGCACTCTGGGAAAACGTTCCAGTGCAAGTAGTCAGCAGCAAAACCAGCACATTCCAGCCCTGGGTTCCAGAATCGAGCTGGCCATTGGCATAGGCCATCCCAGACCAATCTGTTTCCTTCATTCCACAGCAGACACTCATTTGAAAGGTTAGCTTGTGGCAGGCAGGGACAAAAGCATAGTTTCCAGTATAACAATTCCCCACAAGCTGCAGCCTGGCTGTGGGGAACAATGTAAATTGGTGGCAAATAACTTTGTCCCATAATTGCTGACCTCTCCAAAAACTATCCGGGTCCTCGTCTTGCTTTATCGCCTTTTTAGGATGTCCGGGGAGGGAAGAAGGAGAGGGAGAGGGAAAGGAGAGGCAGCCCGGCCTGGCTGCGGACAAGGGCAGAGGCAGCGGGGCGTGATCCCCGTGCCGGAGCTTCCCTGGAAGCCGCCAGCCGCGGAGCCGGCGGTGCCCGGGCAGGGCAGGGTTAAGCGAGCGGGGCTGGGCAGGAGCGGATGTGCCCGGCTCCGAGCGGGAGCCGTGAGCTCCCGGCTCTTCCAGCTGCCGCGGGATCGAGTTGTGAAAGGCGGTCGTCAGAGAAAAACCGGCCCTGGTTAGTGCTTTGGTTGTGCTCAGGTATAATTAGTCTTCTTTGGAGAAGTTAGTGGGAGGAATTGATGCTGGATAACGCAGGCTGTTAACTTTAACTGAAAACTGGGCTAGGAAAAATTACGTCGCTTATTTTGCTATGATTTGTTTAAGTCTAAGGTGATACAGCAGTCCCAGATAACAAATCTGCGAGTGAGTGAAGCTCCGCAAGAGGAGTGAGTCAAGCTCTACAGTTGAAGTAAGTCAATTTCAATTAGCACTGAAGTTAATACTTAAACATATTTGCCCCGTTGTCTCAATTTAATCTCGTTTTTTCAAAGTTTTCTCTGCAATGCTAGGACCAGAACTTAGTGCACTTACCTTATATCAATGATTTACTGTGCTTTTGACTGTTTACCTACATGGAAGCAGATAGTCTTATGTAAATACAAAAGGAGAAGAGACAACTTTAAAAAAGAAAAAGAAAAAAAGGAACTTAGTGATACTGCAGATGGTAATAGTCCAAAACCAAAATTGTCGTATCCTTGACAGGTGTTACATTTAGCACACTGGACAAGACATCTGATAACTGAATAATTATGTTCAGGAGCAAAGCATCGAGTCTGTCAAAACTGATTCCCTCGATGTTTGGCCAGTCACAGTTGGCTTACAAGTTTATTCATCCAGTTATTGCTTCTCATGGACATCACTGTCACAGAAGTGTGATTTACAAACAGAGGTACAGGACTCTCCGACTTAGAAGACGAACAATAAGCACTAGGACCAAGGTTGGTATCTGGAGAGCCCCCTTCCTTCTGTGAGGTTCCTTTAAGTGTTTTTAGATTCCTGCTATCAGTGTGATTTTTTAAGATTGTACCTGGGGCAAACAGAACACCAGGTGCTGGACCAGTGCTGCAGGCAGTGAATGGGTCACAGGTCCATCAAACACAGCTGGAATGGTGGCAGGCTCAGCATGCCCACACTCACTGAAAGATCCATCAACATGCCACTAGCGTGCTTCTAGTGCACCAGCTGTTTTGTTTATAGCTAGAGGCTTCCTCATGGGTCACCCTTCTGCTTCTGAAGTGTAGAAAGTGCTTCCAAGGTGAAAGCAAGTCTGGTTCTGCCCATCATGTGTGGTGTATTGTAATAGGGTAGGAGGTGGTGATGAAAGCAAATGGAGTAATACAGTGCTGCCTCACTGGCATCTGCCAGTCACTTGATCATGTCTGGTGCCCAGTTTTAACAGCAAAAGCTTTAGCTGCCCTCCAGGATTACCAGATTCTGATCATTCATGAAGCTGGACAATGCCATCACAATATGACATCAACTCCTCTTTTATTCTATGTATCATTTACTCTGCAGCACAAATCTAGTTTATCCTAGTAATGTTGTGTGATACTCTTAAGAAATGCAGACTACACCTGGGGAAATTTGCACAGTTTTGACGACTACATGTGGTTAACAACTTCAGCTGGCAAAAAAAAAGATGAGATGTATATAAAAACATGGTCTTCCTTTGCAATTTAGTTACACTGTTCACCTCATTGCTTTGTTTGCTGCAGCTGAGGACCAGATAGTATTATCAGAGACATTGTGGTGAACTGCAGACCTGTCCTAGCATGGAGGCCCCTTCAAGCCCATGTACAGCAGCAGACTGAAACTGCAGCAGAAATGCACATCAAGGCCAGGCTAAAACAGCAGTACTGGTGCCGAGATTGTAACCATTTAATAGATGTGGTTGGGATAAGTCTGAGTTTGCTCAGGACAAGGGTAAATATGGTTGACAAAAACTTCCAACCTACATTGACACCTTTTTGTCCCAGGCTTGAGTTCTGATTACTCACAGAAGGCTTTTGTGAGAGGAGTGAAGCAGCAGGACACAGCTGACCAGCATCGTGTGCCCAGAATAAATCAGCATAGTGCTGTGGAAATTTGTTCTGATTCGGGTAGCAAAACATCAGGTTTCCTGGACACAAGTCTAGGAGATAGAATGAGATGGAGATCAAATGTTAGTAGAGCGCAGCAAAAAGAATTGTAGGAAATTAGGCACAGCTGTTGTTAAGATATGCAGGAAATCTTCAACTACCACTTTTGCCAATAGGAATTCTAATTAGATGTTTGGTTGTGTGTGAAGCCCCTATCTTATTGCAGAGTGCATTTGCCAGAGTACTGTAGAGAGGACTGGGCTCAAAACTCTCAGGGCAGAGGAAAGTTCTAGAATGAAGGACTGTGTTATCAGTGGTATTTCCTCTAGTGCTCTTCCTCAATGGTTCAGCACATAGGTGTGCTAAATTTTGCATGAGGTAAATTCAGGTACAGATCTGGATATTTAAGACACTGAAGGCAAGCAGTCCAACAGCTGTCCAAGGGTGGCCCTTCATTGTGCAAATTTATTAGACATAAACCATCCTTAACAGATGTTTGTCAGACCCACCTGGGCCTCATTGCCTGTAGCTTCACCAACCATAGCCAACAGGCAAGAAACTGAGTAAATTTCTAGCAGCCTCTGTTTCATAGCACTGCTTATAGAAAGTCATTGGTGAATAAGCTACCAGAAAAGCTACTAGTTTTGTATTAAATCAATATTGATTCAGGAGTAAAATGAAACTCTTTGAGAAGAACAGCTTGTAGGACTGGATTTGGATGTAAGTGTGTGGATGTTCCTCGGTGTTACGGTCTAAATCAGCACTTGGTAAAAGTACTTGGAAGTTGTCTGACATACCACGCTAGATCCGTTTCCTGATCTACACATGTTAATTTAAATGATAACTTTTAAAAGAACATCACTGCTCTTTCAGGGTGTTCTCCTAAACAAAGGAGTATTTCTTCTATTCCTCTGTTGCAGGTCATGTCAGAAGGAGAGTTGCCTGCTGTTTTGATCCTGGATATAGGAGGAACTCATGGCGTGCTAGAAGACCTCGCAGAACTTTTGAAGAAACACTTTCACCTTATCACCATGAAGGAATTTCTTGGAAACAAAGAAGAAATGAGGAAAAAAATCCAATCTGTTTTTGTGTTTGAGTGCAGGCCAACTATTGACCGCGAGCTTCTAGAAAGTCTGCCTAATTTAAAGATAATTGCAAACTCTGGGGTTGGAGTGGATCACTTAGACTTGAAAATGATCTCAAGCTTTGGTGTAAAAGTGACCAACACCCCACATGCTGTGGCAGACCCAACAGCAGACATAGGAATGGCCTTGATGCTGGCCTCTGCTAGAAGACTAGTGGAAGGTAATGTTTTCCATTTTCTTGGTCCTAGCTACTTCTTTAGCATACCTCGCTTTTGCTGTGGTAGAGATGATCTTTCTGAATCAATATTTGGGATGCTTTTACGAGGAAAAATTTTCAGAGGCCTTAACTTTCAGAAACATCTACTTATGTCTCACTTCTTTTTAGGGCAACAATGACAAGAGTAAGGCTTTTGTCTAAATTATGTGCTTGAAAGTCTTGTGATATCCTGTTTGGAATAACATCAGGGGCTTAATTCTTCTCTGGCTGTTCAGTGGTTGGGTTGTTTACAGCTGTGAAAACTGAGTACAGAGTGCATCCAAACTGAATGTCACCACTTTCCATTTCCCCTCGAAAGAAGCATTAGAAGCTACAGGAAGATACAAAGCATTAGTGGCCACATCTCCAACTCCAGAGTAATAATTACTATAAATTCTTCTTTTTCCTACCTCTGTGATGAGTTTGTCAAAATCAGTAGGTTGTATTTCCTGAAGAGCATCAGCATTGTTTTTGAAATAGATGATAATCTTTTTGACCAAGCTGTTACAAGTTGTACCACCAGCATTAGTTTGTGTCCCTAAAAGCAGGTTCTTTCCCCGCCCGCTTGCTATGCAATGCCTTTCTGGGGAAGGAAGGTGTCAGTAGAGACTTTCACAAGAAGCCACCTCTGTGTTCAGGGACTCATGGTCTTGTCACTGCTGCTCACATCCCTGAGCATGAAATAACATCTCTTTCCCAGTGATGTTTTCTCACTATTGCATCTTTTTGGACTTCAAGTTCTTTGTATAAAAGCTGACAGAGATCCCTGGCTGAGCTGGAATTTGAAACCTTCACCCCTGTTCAAGCAGTGAGACTGGTTTGGGTTGTGATCCAGGAGAGAAATTATGAGATTTACCCCAGATAAAAAAAAAGTGAAGTCAGTGCTTGCAGAGTGGTTTCAAAGAAGCTATTTTTGAACTTCCAAGAAAACACACCAGCTGTGGAAAAGTTAATTGCCCAAGGAGAGACTCCTTCCAGCACAGTACCCAGCCAGGATCCCACTGTGTTACTGGCTTTAGGCCTAGGTGCAGGAATTGGCACCATCCAGGCCCTTATATAAACTGGTCAAAATCAACAAAGGTGTTTTGTAAGGGGTGCTCCAGAGCCCCACTGCTGTGATGGTGATAAACCTTTTCTTTCCCCCAGGCCTCCATTTATGGCTGATTTGTACCCATTCAACATGTATTTACACGCAGGCTGCCACATTGCTGTGTCTCCAGACACAAAGCATTTTGCTGTTGACTGGCTGGGAGTGGAAGTAACCAGAGCGACACTTGGGATCATTGGGATGGGCAGCATTGGATACAAAGTGGCTCAGAGAGCCAGGGCCTTCAACATGAGGATCCTGTACCATAACAGAAACCGAAGGTAAAAGTTTCTGCATTTCTGGTTTCTGCATTTGTCTAGAGGGCAGTGACGGAAACCACAGCTCTGCTCTGTCCCCAGCCTTCCTGTGCACTTGTAAGCAGTGTAACAAGCACCACTCTGCCACCACTTTCTCACTTTGGCTCCCTCCTGCTCCCTTCAGGAAGCAGTTCCCCCTGCACTTGCCCTGTCCTGCTTAGTGACTACCAGTTTGAAACAAGGACTGGTAAGCATTGGGGAGATGTTGTCCAAGCAAACCAGGTCTTGTGCCCTTGTGGTGTCCCCTGTCCTGTCCTGTCTTCAGGCTTCTGGCAGCATCCCTGCTTCTCCAACCAGTCTCCTCAGCCTAGCCAGATCACACATCACACAGGCACCAATGACAAAGGCCTTAATTTCTCATGGATCTGTAGTTCCCTTTCTTTCACGCTTCATTCCATTTCAATCACAAGTCCTAACTGCCATGTCAGACAAGGAAAAGCTCCACAGGAATTGGCATAGACACAGGAGAGAAAAGCAGGGTCTGACTGCATCCCCAGCCTTCTAACCTCATATTGCCTGCTATGTGCTGTGCTTTCACACATGCATCACTCCTCCAGTGTCTCACCACTCCTATAGCCTCTTGCTCCCTCTAGCCCACATCCTTTCTACATCCATTCTACCAACTGTGCCTATCAATGGCTTATCCTTTACATTGGTCCCAACCTCTCAGTTTCTGTGCTTTCTGGAACTCTCCTAGGGCTGACTGATTGTTAAACTCAGAAACAGTTGTGTCAGTTTGGGGATTTGTGCATTTTTCCTTCAGAAGAAAGGAGGAGGAAGAGGCTGTTGGTGCCCACTACTGTGCAAAGATGGAAGACTTGCTGCAGCAATCTGACTTTGTTATGTTGGTTGTGAACCTGACACCTGAGACTCACAAACTGATTGGGAAAAAGGAGTTGGGGCTGATGAAACCTACAGCTACTCTTATAAACATCAGCCGAGGTAGGAGGATCTGAAATCACTGTTTGTGGCTTCACACTTAAGGTCATGTTTTGTCTGATTGTGTTGATATTCCCCTCTCCGGCCTCAGTCTGTGATATCTCTCTGTTGTTTGAGTCATGAAGTAGTAGTAAGTCACACAAATGTGTGACTTACATGGATCATACGCTATTTCTTCAAAGATCCTATGGAAATTAGGAATACTCGGCAGATGGTTAGTTCTGTTTAGCCTTATTCTAGAGACAGTGGGTTTTAGTGGAAATAACTGAAAGGTTTATCATCAGCAAGGGAGAATGGAGTACAAGGGAAAACATTAAGTAACATTTGGAAAAGCAGTGTAGAAAGGAAGCCTCACATGGGATGACAGATCTGTTGGCACTGAACGAGCATATGAGAGAGATTATCAGTAAACAAAGCAGAGAGATAAAAGAGTGGAAAGTCTGCAGAGATTAAATAATTTGTCTGTTATAATACAGGAAGTGTCAAAATGAGAAAAAGACTAAAACTGCTCTCATCCCAGGAAAAACCCTATGCAGTAGACTATAATCATCCTATAATTAAAGGTTAATAAATAAAATCTTTGGTTAATAATTACTAAAAAGGCATTCTATTATCTAACAAGATAAAGATCGTTTAGTTTTTCTCACTTGACCCTGAGGATGTTCCACCCTCTTATAGGTAAATGTGTTCATTAACTCATCAGATTTAACTTTAATGCAGGTGCAGTTATTGATCAAGATGCATTGGTAGAAGCTCTCCAGAATAAGGTTATTAGGGCTGCAGCTCTGGACGTGACATACCCTGAGCCCCTGCCAAGGTAAAGAAACTTCTTTCCCAGTCTGTTAATCTGAAATGTTTTAAACTGTGTTCAAAGTGTGTTCATAATTTTGCTCTTCACGGGGAGACTCATTATGTAAGGCCAAAATCTCAGGCTATCTTGCACAATCATAAATAAACAACAAGTTATTCCCCTTTCCCACCTGTGTTGGGTCTTTGCCAGTCTGACTCATCGGCCAGGCGATGAGTAAAGTGAATGGAGAAGAAGAAGAAATGTGTAAGCAAGCATCCCATGGCTTCATGCTCGTTCTGTGCTTTGGTCTGAACGTGCTGTTGCTGAGGTTCAGTTCTTCACAACTAGCATGGGACAGCAGCAGAGTAAGTTCCTTGTGTAACACATTCTGTTCTTTCTGTTTCTTCCAGAGATCATCCTTTATTAAACCTAAATAACGTGATCATAACCCCGCACATTGGAACCGCAACAGTCCAGGCCATCCGTATGATGGCAGAAGAAGCCATAGCAAACATGCTGGCTGTTCTCAATGGCCAACCCATTCCAAGTGAAGTGTTTCCCAAATGATGAGTGCTAGATGATGCCACTAAATCTCCTGCCTACAGGAAGACACTATTTCTTACCACTTTTAAGCTGAATAAAAAAGCAGCCTGTTCCTGCACTGCTCATCATGATGCTGCAAAACTGTCAGACTTGATCTGTTCTGTTACTTACAATTTGTGAAAAACACCAATCACTTGCTAGTTGCCAAACGTTTAATAGTAATAAAATGGTTATAAAAATAGTAATACAAAGTAGAGCAATAAGAATTTGGACAATCAGAGTTAGGACAATAAAGGACAATAAAAGCAAAGAATTACCAATGTTTACTTTACTTGCATTTCAAGAGGATGTTTTCCTCTTGAAAGCATGGCTCGCTAACAAAAGATTAACTCTTAAGAGCAATAGCCTATTGCATATTCATATATCTCATACATGATGCATACATTCCTTTCCAACTAGGGATTTCTCTGGTCATTGTCAACTTTGCCCCCCTTAATCCTGTTGGCACCTTAAAGACAAGATCGTGGTGGAAGGTTTGTCTTTTCCAATAAGGGGGCAATAATTCTTCTCTTGGGGATTTAGGTGTCTTGTTGCTGTTATCTCTGTGCAAAGAATTTCTTGAGCTAGTTAGAAAAAGCACCTTACATCACATAGTTTTTATTTTAATATTATGTTATAGCATAAAACTATATTTAGCACGCTACTGAAAAGGATTAATACAGTATAACTTTTTAACCTAACACATATAATATTAATTTTATTATTTGCGAAAAGCCAGTCATAAAATATGCATTTTTCACACAATTCAAAAAAATAAAGTGAAACTAATAAAAGATATTTGTTTGAAGATTTTAACTGAGCAGTTATGCATTTTGGTATCCTCAGTCTATTTCAGTGAATAGCAGTGTTCTGTTCCCAGTTCTTGCAGCTACATAATGATAAGCAAGTGCACCTGGCAATTTGTGTAGCACTCTCCAGTCTGTTGAAGATGAATAAGCATTGATTCCCTGCAGAAATTTGGCTTTTCAGCCAGTATTCCAATATTCTATTTTTACATGAAAACACTGAAGAAATGTTCTTTAAAGTGATTGTAGGCCTAAGGTTTTCTAATTTAAGAAGAGCCCTGCTTCATCTACATGTTAAAGCAAAGCCAGTTGTTGAAAAAGTGTCATTTTTCATGAGGGTATCCTTTGAAAACGAAAGTAAATTCCAAGAGATTTAGTTCCTCCATGAAGACAAAAATTATGCTTTTATCTTGACTGGCCATGAAAGAAAGGTAGAATTACCATTGAAATCATATGGGTGAGGGTATAACCTAAAGCAAAATTAGTGATCAGTGCTGACTTGCAGCCCAGGACCAAACTTCTTACATTGTCTTTTCTGTTAACAATCAACAAATTCAGAAAATTTAATAAAATGGTTGTCACCTTAATAAATTCAAGAAGACTTTATTTTGCAACATGGTCAGGCACCCTGAAGGGATGGTAAAATGAAGTTCTAGTACAGGAAGTGTAAACAGGTCAAGAGTTAGACATGCCGCAGGAAACAGTGAAATAATACTAGCAAGGCAACAGAATTGCTACAGGATTGCTATTCCATGATCTTCAGCTCTTCCCAATGTTGCTGTAGAAAATCAAAGGTAGCTATAAATAGTCTGTCAAAAAACCCAAAGTAACTCAATTCACAGACCCTCTTGGGACCAAAACCAGATGGTCAGGGATTCTGGGGAAAAAAAAAACCAACAAAACAAACAGTTTAGAGTGATATGTCCTTCTTGGAAAACACTTGTCTAAGCATATGTTATTATGTTATTTTATTAATTTACAGTAGGCTCAGGAAAAGGCTCTGCCGTCACTGGGGTCTCTTCAGGACGGGTGACTGCAAAAATCTCTGCAACAAAGCATTAAAAAATTAACCTGATAACTCAAAGTTCATTATGAAACTGTGTAATTTATTTTCATGACATAGATTTGATAGAACATTTTTCCAAACTGAGACAGGGTACTTTTTGATTTCAGGGTAGCAAAGGAGATTTATTGCACTATTTACTACAGACTACTGATGATCTGAAACTAAGTAATTAATCAGAAGTGGTGTATTTTGAGCATGATAGCAGTAATATTGTTGCAGTGCGTGTTTTTGATTGTAATTCCGTCCTAGTAGTCAGTTTTATAAACACCCCCCCCCCCATTTTGTATTGTTATAGCATATTTTATTGTCAATGGCTTGTTCCTTCCCCCCATGTTGTTTTTTTGCCCTAGATTGTTTTGCCCTGTGTTGGTTTTGTTCTAGTTGTCCATCTCCCCAAAGACCTGCCCTTTTGTTCCCTGTTCCTCTTCCCACTGAATGTCAATCCCTCCCCAAGCCTGCCCCTTTCTCTAGAAAATTCCCTGTCAATTTTGTATCCTTCAAAACCGCACTGGTTTAAATTGTTCTCGTCCCCTGTAATCCCGTATTGGTTTAAACATTGTATTCCCTGCCTTGTGTTCCACCCCCAGTTTCTCCCAATTGGCTAAAGATTGTATCTCCCCTGGGGCCTGCCCCGTTTGTAGCTTGTGTATGGCTTTGCTGCTGTGTCCTTCTGTCCCTGGCAGCTGTCTGGGGCTGGCTCACTCTCACTGACGTGTCGGGAGCTGGTTGGACAGAAGAAATCCGGCACCACAGCATAATATGAAACCTTAGATCACGAGGGCAGACCTTGTTCAGACTGATTATGTGAATACCTCTGTGTGTGTCGGGGGGCACCTGTATGTATAAATGACAGCATATTTAAAAGACCTGCTTGCTTGTCTTGGTTTTCTTCCTTTGCGGTTTACAAGATCTCTTGACATAAATGTCATGAAACAGGACATGGCAGTGATTATTCTTTAAAATGTCTGGAAATAATAATATGTGTTTCTTCTGACACTTTGTGTCTTTCTTCTTTGTGCAGATCATGGAAGGAGGAGAACTACCTTGGCTTTTGGTAAATGAAATTGGTGGCATACGTGGGATACTGCATAACCATGTGCCATTCCTGAAGAAACATTTCCACCTCATCACCATGAAGGAATTTCTTGAAAACAGAAAGGATGTAGGCAAAAAGGTCCAAGCAATCTATTTGTGGTGGCACAAACCAGTCATCGACAAAGAGCTACTCCAGAGCCTGCCAAACTTAAAAGTGATTGCGAATTCAGGGGTGGGGATGGATCACTTGGATCTGAAGCTTATAGCTAGCTTTGGTGTGAAGATGGCTAATGCTCCACATGCTGTTTCCAGCACCACAGCAGATACTGGGATGGCTTTGCTGCTAGCATCTGCTAGAAGACTCGTGGAAGGTAACATCTCAATTGTTTTGTGGTTTCTAAAAATCATACAAGATTTGCCTGCAGAAATTTGATTTTTATTAAGGGTTACCTGTAGTGCACACGGTTACATAAAATGTGAAAATGTGAGCATGTTGGCTTGGCAAACAGAATAATCGGTATTTTAATACATTTTATGTATAATAGGTATACTTAAATTACTACATTAGGCATACATAGCATTTATTTCAAGCAGGTATAAATAGAATGTGATGGCATTACAGTGCTGTGACCAAAAGTGGGGGATGCCAAAGATCAGATGATCACTGAAGTCACAAGCTGGCAGAAGAACTTAGTCTGGGAGGCAACAATGGGGCATAACAAGGCTATACAGAATCATGGAAAATCCTGAGTTGGAAGGGACCCACAAGGCTGATAGAGGCATGGGCATATTCTTGGAGACTGAAATGTATTGGTGTAGAATTGTGGCATTTAATGGGCATTAGAGAGTAATAATAGAGGCAGCCTACTCCAGTTTTTGTTAATAGCATCCTTTCTAGTTTCATCAACAATTTTTTCTTGCTGTTCTGCCAGATAGACCTACCCTTGGCTTGGTTAGAAAGCCTCCTTGTTCAGGAAAAAATCCTTCAGATTTATCCTTTTATATTTACCTGACTTTGCCTTGCCATCTGTACCACAGGAATTCTAGAAACTCAAAGGGCATTTGCATCCCTCTAAGCTGGTTTCTGCCTCACAAAAGAGAGACAGTTTAAAAGGAAGATTAATTTCTTGTTCCCTTCTACTTAAACTATCCCTGGTGGCATTTCTGATAGCTTTGAGTTTTCTGATAGACCGAGATTTTTCCTGAGCCATTTTTTGTATCCTTTCACAATATTCTGCTTGTGTTTTAGAAAAGCTGGCAATATCAGATGACTGAAGTATCAAAAGGCTGTCACCTTGCAAGAAGTGCTGACACTGTGTATATAACTGTATTTTATGTGTTGTAGAACTATCCAGAATTGTGCAGGTTTAGCAGGTAATTACAGAAATTACTAGGTTGTGATTTTTAAAAAGTCACATTTTCTTTCCAAGGAGAGTGGCAGATGTGAAGAGGAAACCCAATATCTGGTGGTGTTCTCCACGTGACATCTTCAAACTCTGCATTGTTATTGGCAAGAATTATTTTGATTGTTGATGAGGAACAGGGCAATATTTTCATGAGTCTAAAGCAGTAATAAAATTTTTGGAGGGATTATATCAAAAGGCTTTTTGTAGTATGGGGAGAATAAATAGGAACGTCATACATACATGTAGCAGGGAGTGATGATAGGTTAGGGCATTACCTAAGACATTACAGTAAAAATCATGTGTTTGTAACCATTAGAAGTATGCTATAGTAGCACAAGTCCAGACTCTTTGCCTTGTTGGACCCCATTCATTTCTCATATTTATGTGTTTTTCTTGCAGTCCATAACATTTCAATTTCTCCTAGTATGGACTACTGTGAAGCTGATATTCTGGGAGTTAAAGTTTCTGGAGCTACTCTGGGGATCATTGGCATGGGCCGCATTGGGTATAAGATTGCTGTGAGAGCCAAAGCATTTGAAATGAACATTTTGTATCACAACAGGACACGGAGGTAAAGACATGTCTTTACCCTAATTGCAGCAGAAACTCTTCCACATAGTCAGTATTTTCTTTTCAAGGAGTTATGTCAGAAAAAATAACAAGAAATGAGGGAATAGGGCCAAGATTAAAAGAACAGAAAAGAAAAAAAAAAGAATGGTTGCCTGAAATCAGTCCTGTAAAGAGTTACTCAGTGATTAAACATTTGGAAACTTAATTTAGGTTTTATATTAGAAAATATATTTTATATTTCAGGGTTTTTTTGCAGAAAAATGGAAATCAAGCTTATGCTTTTTTATTCTTATTACATTGTACTGTAGTGACAACATAACTCTATTTGTTGTTTATTTTTTCCCCATATTTTGAAGTTTAGGAGGGATATTTTGGAAACAGTGGCTGGAAACTAGGAAGCATATACTTGGCAAAATATGACTGAGAGCTGTTCTTAAGAAAACCTCATTTCTTCTCAAACCAGTCAGAATTTTGTTTCTTCTCAAACTGGATTTCACCCTTAATTTCTAGTCCCTCCTAGCTTGTGTGTCTGGGAATCTGAACCTTGTTAGACATTCAGCACAGGTAACTCTTCAATTTAATGCGAGCAAGACCCTCATGAACAACTCGAGGGCTTTGCAATCAGGCAAGGTGCAAATAATGAACAGAACAAATATTTACTGCTATAAACTATGGCCTACCCTGAGAGAACTTTACTCCTCTGTGACTGGAGGGAGAAGCTGCAGTGCTACATGTGGCTTTCAGGGATTTTCCCCACAGGCAGACTGCTGGAGAAGGGTCACTGCTTTAGTTAGCTGTAGGCAAATCACAAGGGTGAATGAGGCCAGGAATTTTTAGCTATGCTTGGCATTCCTGTTTCTTCAGAAAAAAAAACAGCTGAGCAAACTTACATTTAAAAGAAAGTACTCCTTAAGATATTTCTGAGTTTCTTCACAAACCACAAAAAAAAAAAAACCAAGTAAAAGGCACAAATCCCTTTTTTTTATGTGTGTCATCCTCAACTCCCTATGTTGAATATTTTTCATTTTTTAAAATAATATTTATGTTAGAGTGCTGTGATGAATTATCAATGCACAGTGCAACAGGAATTAAAAGCCTAAAGTATATTTAAAGTACATTTACACTTCTGGCTTGTGTGCTGAATCAGGGTGCACTCTGCAAGTTGCAAAACTGGCTGCAGTTCCATTCTGTTCTTTTCCCACTTACTCTCTGGTCATTGACCTGAAAAAAAAAAAAAAGTGAAGTGCATTTGTTAGGAGACACATGGGTCAAAGTTAAATTGAAGTTCTTTTCTTAGTGTGATCTCTTTATTTCTAGATTAGGGAGGAGACAACTTAAAGCTCTTCTCTTGCATGTGTACAATAATCTTCTTCTCTAGAAGCATGATAAGACATGATTTCTTATCATTGCTTCTTTATTTCTCGAAGTTCAAACAGCTAAATTTACAAAAAACATGAGAAATAGCAAGTATTCTTCTTCACTGTGAAAAGTGAAAACTAAAAATCTCTCTACTCTGGTAACTTTTTCTGCTGAACACTTTACTTTATGAATGTCCTGGGGCAGCCAGGAGCGCTGCCTTGCTGATTTCACTCATAAAAAAATGACAGGCTTAGTGGGAGTGCCAACAGGATGAGGACCACTGCCATGCCCAGAGCATGCATGGATGGGTTCTGGTACATACCACTCCGCTGGTTTGAGCAGTGATTGTATCCTTTGAGGTGCACAGGGGATCCTGGAGAATGGACTGTGTGCTGCCATCTGCTTCAGTGCTCAGCCTTAGTTAACTTGCAGACTTCATAAGAAGCCCTTGGAATACTGCACTGGAGTGGCTGAGAGGGAGGCATGCAATCTATCCTGTGCTGTAGGGCTTGAAGCTCTCCAGAAGTATCTAAATACTGAGCTGAGGGTAAATTCACCTTTGTTTGCCACCTGATTTCTATATGGATGTGATAATCAGATCCTTTAGTTTGTTTGTATTCTGGTGATAACATTGAAGAAAATGTTTCCGTGACTGAAATGCTTTTTTTCCCGCTAGGAAAGTGCAAGAGGAGCAAGCTGTCGGTGCCACTTACTGCAAAAAGATAGACAGCTTGCTCCAGCAGGCAGATTTTGTGATGCTGGTGGTGAGCCTGACACCTCAGACACACAAGCTGATCGGGAAAAGAGAGCTGGAGCTGATGAAACCCACAGCTACCCTGATTAACATCAGCCGAGGTACCATCCAGATCCAGATCCATTGGCCAGCCTCACAGCGTGCTCCTGCTGTGTCCCACAGCCCGTGCTGCATCCAGCACAGCTGAGGCGCATGGCGAGGAGGATCAGGCATGGCGGAAATTCCTCCCTCTCCCCTTCCCTTCTTTTGCTCTCTGCTCTTTGCCTGCCAGGTGCACTCAGGGACACTGTCATTCCACACCAGGTGCAGTAGTTGACCAAGAGGCGCTGGTGGCCGCTCTGCAGACCGGTGTTATCAGGGCCGCGGCTTTGGATGTCACCTCCCCAGAACCACTGCCCAGGTTGCCATCTCTCCTTATTTCTCTGGAAGCATGGGGGAGCCCTGCTGAGAGCAGAGGCATCCCTGCAGCAGGCAGGAAGCTGCCCCCCCAGTCCTGGCATGAGTTTGGAGAAGAGTGCCATGAATGGGAATGGGATGCAGCCCAGACATAGGGGCTGATAACAGACCAAAGGGAAGCCCGGGAGCCAGGAAACAGCAGGAGGCAGGGAAAGCATTTACACCCAGTAATCACCCCCTGAAGCTGCAGCAGTGCTTCACTTGCAAATTGCTTTATTAGAAAGTGTAGCTTGTCAGTTTTAATGGGTGGAAGCTGCTCGAGGCCTAAAACCTGCTGCATAGGCAGGAGGAGGTGTCCTGCACAGGCTTCTTTCACAATACAAGGCTGAAGTACTGCAAACCTCTTGGGGCCAGAGACTGCTTAGCTTCTCTAAAAAGACAACCAGGATGGTGCCTTTGGGAGTTAACTGTGCTGGCTGCATTTTGGGTTGTGGGGAGTTTGGTCTCCTTTTGTCTGTGTGCAAATAACTACAGCTGAGACTATTGTGTAAGGTGAATGCATCAGGAGGGCTTAATCTTCTCTTCTAATATAGTTCAAATTGCTGCCTCATGGCAGAAGTGTGTTTCTGGAGAGAAGAGCTGCTTATGAAGTCTTCGCATGTCCTATTACAGTCCAAAATTACTTCAATGTAGGTGCTCAGGTTCTCTGGGTCTAAGTGGGACTTGTAAAGTTGTATCAATTAACTGTAAATACAGTGCAAAAGCTAAAGTAGACTCCTCTTAATTTAGATGAACAACAATAGTTAACTCTTTTTTCTTTTCTTCCAGAGATCATGCATTGTTAAAATTAAAGAACGTCATTATAACACCTCACCTCGGCATTAAAACAGACAAGGCCACCTACATGATAACAGAGGAAGCAGTTGAAAACATACTAGCAGCCCTAAATGGTCTCCCCCTACCCAGTGAAGTGCTCCCTAGCTAATGTGTAAAAGGATATTGCATATCTTTTTATTCTTCTCTTTGTCTTTTTATTCTTATCTTTCCCTTGCACATCAGCTCTAAAGATCTTTTTAAATACAAGAATGTCCATACACCTCACTAAAGCTTGGAAGGAAACAGTTGTGTTTATATAGTTTCTGTTGTCTAATACAAGTCCAAAAGGCAGATAAACCAACACCCAAAGTGGCAGTGCTATGCCTTTTCTTATGTAGTGTGACTTTATGAATAGTATGATTATTTATCTGTAAAATTTATAGCAAAGTTGCTATTAAGTGCAGCCAGGATTTTGGCTGGAGCCTTATGCATCTTTACAGAGGCTTTGTCTTGCAGATGGTTGTCACCAGTGCTGGCCAAAATACACTTAGTCCCATCACTTTTGCAGCTCCAGGAAACAAGACATTGCAGTTTTTCAGGAACAGCAAATTGGGTGTCAAGAATTTCAAGACTGCCCCAGGGGCCTCCCTGCTCTCTGAGGTACAGGTGCCCAGTACACATTTCATTGTCACATGTATAACCTTAAAAAAATAAGTTAAATTTATTCAAAAATAAAAGGCTAAGCAATAAATTACAGAGCTGAAAAACAAGGTTACTACACAATAAAAGAGAAAAGAGAATAAAATGCCTTTTCTTAGATTAATATCCTAAAACTGCAAAAAACACACAAGGCTTTTGCATATGCAAACTTTTCTCAATAAGTGAAGAAGCAAACAAAATCAGATACAGTACTTCATATCTACTTAAACAATTGTACATGTTTGGCATTTGCTTGGAGTTTTACTCCTACATCTGCAGATATTTCAAGAATCTGGGCTGATTAGTTTCAGAAGTGCTCCCTGCCAATGGGGTGCTTTAGAAGGCAAGACACATCTGCCTGTCAGTCACCGGAGTGATGAGTTGGCTTACACACAATACCTGCAATTTCATGATTACTGAAAGTTGGTGCAAAATGCAGTGGCCACATGAGAGATGATTCATTATAGTTCACTCCATTGATTCAGGTTTTTTGGAATATTTTGATGTGCAAAAATACATGATCTGCAATAAAGTGCTGATACAGAGGTCTACTGGGAATGCTGGCCTTACCTACAGCAACTAGACAGGCTGACACCAAATAACACTTTATGATGGTTTATAGCCACTGAAAACAAATGCATCACTTGGTTTGGCCTTGCCTGAAGATTTCCTGCCTCAGCTTTTTTTTGCCTGTAATACAATACTGCCTTATAAAACTTAATGTAGACATAGGAAATGCATGTCTTTATCCAGCTTCATGCTTAAGCTATTCCATACAACCCACCTGAGAAATGCATGCATTACATTGTACAAAGGTGTTTTAGGGTGACCCAATACTTCAAAGCCTAATGCTAAGAAACAACTATTATGCAAGCACCTTATTAACACTGCAGGCATCGGCTCACCCTGCAGGATTACATGGATACCAACAGCAATATTTAATGATGGGGATGAAGTCCACAATACTTCTGTCTATGTACCCACATACCTCACTCATTTTAGTGCTCTGTACAGTGCTGGTATATCAGATCCCTTTCTGTAAGAGAAAACTTGCACACAGCAACGATGTACATGCAGTGAAATTCAGCTTAACACATTACATGGAGGTCTAAAAGGTAGTCTACAAACCAAATATACTTAGAACATGATAGTGCACTGGTGCAATTGACAACTTCTTTTCACATATGATGCTAAACAGATAAAACTTCTGTAGAGCTGTATCAGTTCCTGACCTATAGCTTGAAAATTGGATGTTCAAATTGCACAAAACAGATTTGAAAATATGAATTCTCTCCACATGTAACCACACAACATTTTCTTGACATTTGATACATATGTATGTATCATTTTTGCTTGGATTAACATTCCTTTGACTGTTACTTTTTGGATCTTCTGACTAATTCCTTCTTCATTTTGTTCATTCAAATTCATGGATTTGATATACAAAGGTAAACACCACTGTGTTGCCCTCCCAAAGGTTTTTCTTTACTTTCAAGACCAGAATGTGGTAGGCCTCTTTCCTCAGACTTGTGTCTTTGAGAGGAACTTTACAAGGGTCCTTTGATCTCAGCTGAGCAGTAAGTTAAAAGCTTACTCATTACAATCTTATCACCAAAGCAGTTTGGAAACTTTTGATGTGAAAGAAGTAATGTGTAATCATTTTATGTTTGTTGGTTTGGTTTTGGTTTGTTTTTTTTTTTTTTTTTTTAAGGAAGAAAATGCCAGTAAACTTAACTAAGAATCCAGTTAACATTCTGTAACTCCATATTGCTAGTTAATTAAGTTTTGCTTTAAAGCTTAACTGTTTGAACTTGAATTTAATGTAAGCAACTGATACTCAAAAATCATCACCAGAATAACAAGAACAGTTTATGGTTTTGTGTAATTGATATTGTTATCATATATTTTTTTATTAGCAATTTTATAGAGGATTGGTGTTAAACTTGACTGTCTTCATGTTCAGCATATCAAAGTGTATTTGACAGAATTCAAGATGACAGCATTTTTGTAATCCATTCTTTTGAAAAGCACTACAGTAGTCAGGAGACACACAGCAGCCCCTATGGCTGGTTGTTACATAGTGTGAAAGGAAAAAGATCCCTGGATGCTCATAGTAGTGGTGTGTCCTGGCTCCTGAGCTGCTGTGACCCCAGAAACCAGGCATCCTCCTCAGAGGATCACGACCACCTGCACAGCAAGGGGAATGGCTTCAGCACAGCTTTTGTGAACTGAGAACTGAAGCTGTGCTTCCCAGTGCCCATCACTGGATATAGAGATCGAGGGAGGCGATTCTTCCCCTCTGTTCTGCTCTTGCGGGATCCCACCTGGAATGTTGCATCCAGCCTGGGGTCCTCAGCACAAAAAAGATGTGAACCTATTGAACTGGGTCCAGAGAAGGCCACTAAGTTATCACAGGACTGGAGAACCTCTGCTAAGAAGATAGAATGGGAGAGTTGGCATTGTTCAGCCCGGAGAAGGGAAGGCTCAGAGGAAACCTTACAGCAACCTTACAGTTGCTAAAGGGGGACTGCAAGAGAGCTGCAGAGGGACTCTTCACAAGTAATGACAGAACAAGGGGAATGGCCTTTGAAAGAGAGTAGGTTTAGATTAGGTAGTAGAACAGAGATTAGGAAGATATTGTCCTCTTTGAGGATAATGAGGCAACGGTACAGGTGACACAGAGAAGTTGTAGATGCCCCATCCCTATCAGTGTTCAAGACCAGGCTGGATGGGGCTCTGAGCAACGTGGTCTAGTGAAAGGTGTCCCTTCCTGTGGCAGCTGGTTTGGAAATAGATGGGCATTCCAACCAAAACCATTCTGTGATTCTATGATACAGACCAAATAAACTTGTCAGAAAAATTCTCACATATTATCAGCTGAAGTTGGCACAGGGCTGTAGCTGGCCTAACATCTCAGGTGTCTAAGCACCTGAGCCTGCCCCAGCTGCTTAGCTCTCAGAGTTTTTGAGCTGGGCTAACAGCTCAGGTATCTAAGCACCTGAGCCTGCCCCAGCTGCTTAGCTCTCAGAGTTTTTGAGGGTATTCCTAGAATCATATAGGTTGAAAAGACCTTCATGTGCGTAGTGAGATGTTACTGGTGTCTGTCGTCAGAGACAACTCTTCATCTTACGTTA